GGTATTAGAGCCCAGATTCTAGATCTAGGGTTTGGTTGGAGGAGTAGATCAATTTGGAGGCTCGTCTAGGGCTTCGTTTGGTGATAAAGGTGGGATCTTTTGTTAAAGACTCTATCTTTTTAGTTTTGGATCTATTCTTCGTTCGTTGGTGCGTAAAATGTCGGGAAAAGAAGGTGCTTCGGGTGTCGAGGACGGTGCTTCTGGCGCGAAGACCATTCAAAGTCTGAATATCCACTCTATGAAGATAGATGTGGAGAAATTTAATGGCACAAACAACTTTGGATTATGGAAATGCGAGGTTTTGGATGCGCTGAACGCGCATAATTTGAAGGATACATTGGAGTTAGATGGCAAGCCAGATGAGATTGAAGAGAAGGTTTGGAAAAAGATGAATCGAAGGAGTTAGATGGCAAGCCAGATGAGATTGAAGAGAAGGTTTGGAAAAAGATGAATCGAACGGCGTGTGGCGTGATTAGGTCTTATTTGACTCAAGATCTAAAATATGATGTGATGAATGAGACTTCTGCGAAGAAGATTTAGGAGATTCTCGAAAGCAAGTATTTGACCAAGAGTGTGAAAAATCGCTTGCATTTGAAGAGGAGGCTTTATCGTTTCCAATTAAAGAAGGGAACCTCCATTAGAGATCACATGAACCACTACACCAAGCTTCTTGCGGATTTGGCGAATGTGGATGTCATAATTGAGGATGAGGACAAGGCGTTGCTGTTGTTGAGTTCCTTGCCCGACGAGGAATATGAAACCTTCGTCCTTACTCTGATTAATGGGAAGGCATCTCTTTCGTATAATGAGGTCACTGCTGCATTGGTGAATTATCAGCTTCGGAAAAAGGATAAAGAGACTTCGACTGAGTCGGTAGCAGAGGCATTAGCCGCAAGAGGGAAGGGTCCAAATCGAAAGAATTGGAAGTCACAGTCTAGAGTAGGAAAAGATCAGTGTGCTTGGTGCAAGGAGACTGATCATTGGAAGAAAGACTGCCCAAAGCTCGACGAATGGATGAAGAATAAGCAGAAGGGAAAAGGGAAGCAGCCGTCATCAGAAGCAAACATCGTATCAGATGGTAATAATTCTGACTCTTCTATTTATTCGCTTTCTATCAGTCCTATAGATAGCTATTCGGAGGAATCTGAATGGATGTTAGATAGTGGTGCGACCTATCATGTGTGCCCTAGAAGGGAATTGTTCTCCAATTTTGAGAAGCTGATGGATAGTGGTGTGGTATACATGGCTGATAACCGTGCATGCCAGATCCTTGGGATAGGAAGAATTCGTATCAAAATGTTTGATGGGACTGTTAGGGAGTTAAATGATGTGAGATATGTTCCTTCTTTGAGGAAGAACTTGATCTCGATTGGAGCTTTGGTTGGAGAGGGTCTGAATGTTCGAATTGAGGACATGGTTCTCAAGATTGTGGAAGACTCTCAGATTGTGATGAAGGGCGTCAAGAGGAATAACCTATATTACTTGACTGGAGGTATAGTGGCATGTGGAGAACTGGCGACTTCTGTTGATTCGACTAGACTGCGGTATTTGGGGCTTGGCCATTCCAGTATTGATTCCTCGCATAGATTGAAAGAGGGTGCGAAGACCTGCAGTTTGAAGTTCAGTGAACATGTTGATGTGAGCAAGAAGACCGAGGTAAAGTTTGGCACCTCTATTCACCGTGCTAAGGGTCGTTCTAGAGGAGTTCACGTGGATGTTTGGGGGCCTTCCAATGGAGCATCATTGGGAGGTAATAGGCATTTGGTTTCCTTTGTTGGTGACTATTCTAGGCGTGTTTGGGTTGCAACCAAATCCCCTTTGGAGAAAGTCCTAGTAGTATCCAACAGATTGAAGAAGTGTGTAATAGACAGAAAGGTGAAGGTACTCCATTCTGGTAGGAGGTACAAGATGGACCTATTTCTGTATTGAGGCCGAGCTCACGACATTTCGAGATACTTTGTTGGAAAGGAAATCTTGGGGCAACTAGATAGGGTGGCAAATTTGGAGAACCGTGCCTTACTGGAGGAGGATCAGTGTTTGTGGTCGAGCAATGATTTGCAGAAGAGTTTTTGGACTGAGGCTTCGACATATTTGGGTTATCCTATTAAAGAGTTGTCAACTGCTGTGATTGGAGGTAAAACTCCATTGGAAGATAGGTCTGGAAGTGTCACTTCGGTTGAGGCTTCGATGAGGGAGCTATTTGACTCTCAGCAGGTGAAGAGTTTTGGACAGACCTTAGATGTATCGTAGCGGGTGGAGAGTGATCCTACTCCACATTGGGTGAAGATTACTCCAGATCATACTGCATTATTTGGGATTCCAGCTGAGGTGACACAGCTTAGGGATCATTTGGATTTAGGTGCAGATGATGAGTTGGGTTCTGATTCGAATGCAGCTGATAGGTGCAGTTTGGATACGGCCATTGGTTCACCTCAGGTGGAGGTGTTTGAGGCCATTGGAGGTGCTATCAGTCGCAGAATTGATGATATTGGAGAAGGGTTGCGAACTCTTCTATTGGATTTAGGTCGTTCGCGGCCATTTGGGTGAACTACGTTCGGCTTGATTCCTTGGGCAAGAGGATACATAGGCAGTCTTTATGATGCAGTCGGGTTTGGATTTTGATGGGGGTGAGATCGATTTGGTGAGTAGACATCGACGTTTGGAGAGTGTTCGCATTCTCGTTTGGGTTCTCGACTTGTTGTGGATTGAGTTCGTTGTTGTGAAGGGGTTCCACGACGCACTGCACGCAACAAGTGGGATATTTGTTTTGGTTGGTGTCGGTTCAGTTTTGAGAAAACTTTGCTGAGGTGGAGAATTGTGAACTCACGTGAACGAATTCATGTGAAGACCTGGGAACGCGTGGAGAGATAGAATGCCCACACCCGCACTTTAGTAGGCCCACCCGAAATTGTTTTTGCAGCTATATATAGCCTTTATTTGGTGTCCTAGGGTTTTGTGCAAGGTGGATTCTTTTTTTCGACTGTGTTGTTTTTGGCAGAGCAGGGTTTTGTTTCTTGGAGAAAACACAGCAAAGGAAAAGGAGAAGAAGAGGGGGTGTAGGTACAGCAGCAATGCAAAAGAACAGAGACTCCTTTATTTGAGAAAACTTCGCCGAGGTGGAGAATTGTGAACTCACGTGAACGAATTCACGTGAAGACCTGGGAACGCGTGGAGAGATAGAATGCCCACACCCGCACTTTAGCAGGCCCACCCGAAATTGTTTTTGCAGCTATATATAGCCTTTATTTGGTGTCCTAGGGTTTTGTGCAAGGTGGATTCTTTTTTTTGGCTGTGTTGTTTTCGGCAGAGCAAGGTTTTGTTTCTTGGAGAAAACGCAGCAAAGAAAAAGGAGAAGAAGAGGGGGTGCAGGTACAGCAGCAGTGCAAAAAAACAGAGACTCCTTTATTTGGCGGCATGCAAAGCTTTGGCAGGGTCTTGGGGTGCGTGCAATAGGAGAAATAGATGTTTTTTTGGCTCTTTTGAGAGAGATATTTGTGTGAGAGAGAGAGATTGTTTGAGGGTTTAGATTGAATGATTGTAAACCCTAGTTGTATTCTCTCCCTCTAATAGTAGATCTTCCCCCTCCTTGCCCCGTGGACGTAGGCAGTTTGTCGAACCACGTAAAAATTGGTTTGTTTGAGTTTGTGGCCATTGTAATAGTTTTAGGATCCCTCGACAAGTTAGTCCTAGAACTGATGAGAGGAAGAGCCGATATCTCACTTTGTTGAGATATTCGCTTCAGATTCTTGTCTCCTTGGTGAGACGTGAATTCTTATTGGGATCTTTCTCTATTATTGTGCACCAGAAACTCTGCCGAAATTTCCGCTGCGCACAACAAACATTTGCTCCAAATCTCATTAAATGAGCATAACTGCTATCATTCTTCTGATTGAAATAATTTCTGATGTTCGCCACATTTTTTTTAAATGAGAACTCTCCACGAACTAGAGAACACCCACAACGAGCGAACTCTCCATAAGAACCATTGTCTTTTTCGCATTTTAACTAACTTTAATTCTAGTCTATATCTTGATTTAACCGAGAACACCCCCGTATTGGTAAAATGCCAGGCCAAGGCATCCATTTTCGGTGACGTTAGAAGAGGCACCCGAAGAATCCAAACCACGTCAATATCCATAATGCTTGTCAAAATTTAGCCTGTTATGAATGCAAGTCATAATTATCAACCGTGTATGATTGATAGTTAGCTTTGATAAAAATTATACCAAACCCTCGTGAACTTTCATTGTTTTGCAGTAAACTCGCGTGGACTTTCAAAACCGCACCAAGCCCGCGATAACTTTTTAGAATTGTAGATCGAAAACCCCCCATAAACTTTCAAGGGAGTTTACGATGAAACGCTAAAAAGTTCATGGGGATTTAGTGCAATTTACCTAAATGTTCAAGGGAGTTTACGATGAAACACTAAAAAGTTCATGGGGGTTTACAGTGATTTACCCTATACTATTTGGATTGTGTGGATCAGGTTTAGGTTAGATATGTTGAAAATAAACTTGATTGAATTACATTGAGAATTGAGAAGATCATTTAGTTGTTTGAGGAGTCAAATGCATGAGTATGTAGATGCATGAATGTTGTTTGGAAATTCAAGAGTATCTTTGAGTTATTATAGTAATAAATATGTGTGGTTTATAAGTTGAAAGAAGTCAAGCAAAGAAAAAAGAAAAATTAATAGAATAATTTTATCCTCCTCCAATTTTTTTATCCTGGGCAAAATATTGTTAGGGGGGGTTAGTCACCTAGAACTTTTTAAGTAGAACTGGGATAATTGGTAAAGTGAGATAATTTTTTAACACTGGGATAATTTAGTAGAACAATGATGGACAATTCTTAAAGTTGGATAATTTGGTAGGATAATTTGGTGGGATAATGGTGGATAATATTATGAAGGGGATAATTTGGTGGGGGTAACAGTGAGTATAAATTATTATTGTTAATATTTGTATATTAAAAATAATATAAGATTGATAAGCAATTGATTAGTCTAGTAATAACTATAAAATATAATGCAATAAAACATTACTATTCATCTCAAATAATAAAATATTTTACAACTAAATAAAAATCTAAATTCCTAGAGTGACTCGACTTCCATCATCCCACATGGCCTCTGCCATAGAATTTCTCCAAGCTCCCGCAGCTGCTCGTTGAGTCTGTTGAGTCTGTAACTCATCTTCTTCATCGGAATCATCATCTACATCAGCAACATTTCGTGGAGCTTCTAGTGGAAGATCATAAATATTGAAGTCATCATTTGTATTCTCCAATCTTAAAAAGTTATGCAATCCTACACATGCAACGAACATCTTTATTTGTGTGGCATACGGAAAACCTGGAGGTTGGCTCTTGAAAATAGTGAATCTAGACTTAAAGACTCCAAAGATGCGCTCGACACAATTTCTAAGAGACGCATGTCGATGATTGAAAACTTCTTTTGAATTTCGTGGTCGTTGTCGATTATTAGCTGGGCCGAACTCTGAAAGATGGTACCTTTGACCTCGGTATGGAGCAAGAAATTGTAGCCTATTTGGATAGCCGCAGTCAACTAGATAAAATTTATCTGCAAACAAGAATATAAATATGAATGAGAAAAATATTGTAAAACTAAAAAATATGATTTAATTGATAGAATACTATGTAAAGATTATTACTCTGTGGAAGTGGAAGTCCATAAGGTCTACTCATTGCATCCTTCAAGACTCTTGCATCATTAGCAGAACCCTCCCACCCAGCTAAGACATAAATGAATTTGAGATCAAATGTGCAAGCTGCCAAGACGTTCTGAGAGAGAAAACCATGTCTATTTCGATAGGGCGTCTGATCTATGTTATACACCATGCACGGTATATGAGTCCCATCTATTGCACCGATACAGTCCTGAATAATCAATGTGTCAGACCATCTCAAGTGATATGTGTGTGGTCGCGCACGCATGTGTGCACGTGTGTGTGTCTGCGTGTGTGTAAATTCTAAAGCAATAATAATTACCTTGAAATAAGGCCAAAAGCGAGATTCTGATTTAACCTTATCAGGTGGATCAGTAGGGGGTGATGCCATCAAGCATGATGCTAAAGATACCAAATCTAATTACAAGCAAATTAAAGGCCTGATAATCAACTTAATTTAAAATCCAAAGCACTGAAGTTATATACTTATGCCCTAGCTAGATCGTTGTTTAACCATATATTACCTGATCTCGTTGACGGCGCCGGAGGAGTTGATGAAGTCGGAGAAGTTGACACGGCGGAGACGACGCACTGGATGGGAAGAGGCTCGGAGAGAAGAGAGGCGGAGAAATTTCTACTAGGGCGGAGAAATTAACCAGAGGGAGGGGGGGACGGAAGGGAAGCGGTGAAATTGGGCGGAGAACTTTTTTTTGCCGATTGTTTTTCTTTCGACGGGGAGGATAATTTTAGGGCGGTGAACTGATGGCCATATATATAGGTGGTATAATTAGTGGGATAATTATGACAAATTATCCCAATTCTAATTCTAATAGAATTCTACTTGACTAACGCATCAAAAGAATAATATAATTTTAGTTCTACGCAAGTTCTACTTGACTAACACTATAAAAAATTATCCCATTTCCTAATTCTATGTGACTAACACCTTAAAAATTTATCCTACAGATTATACCAGTTCTAGTTTTAAGTTCTAGGTGACTAACCCCCCCTTATCGAATTGGTATCAGAGCTAAGATGAGTTCCAATGGAATAATCTCATTTGTTGCTCCTAAACTCACCAAGGAAAATTATGAAAATGGGTGCATTCAAATGAAAGCTCCATTAGAATCAATAGACTGTTAGAATGTTGTGGTGAAAGTCTTTGAAAAGGCTCAAGATAAAGGCGCGCTATCAGCAGCACATAGAGGCTCGTGTAAAGAGTCTAGTAAGAAAGATAGTAGAGCCATCTACTTTATTTACCAAGGAGTTGATGAATCGACATTTGAGAATATCTCAGATGCGGCGACCTCAAAATAAGCTTGGGAGATACTTCAAAACTCCTATAAGGGAGTAGAGAAGGTGAAGAAGGTGCGACTCCAAACACTTCGAAAGGAGTTCGAAGATTTAGAGATGGAGGAAAGTGAACTAGTTTCTGACTATTTTACTTAAGTCTTGGCCGTAGCGAATCAACTTCGGAGAAATGGTGAGAAGATCGAAGATGTTCATGTGGTGGAGAAAATTCTCCTATCACTTCCTCAGAAATTTGACTATATTGTTTATGCCATCGAAGAGTCAAAAGTCTTGGAGAAGATAATGATTGAAGAACTATTGGGTTCCTTAAATACCCATGAGAAAAGATTTAGCAAGAGAAATGAGCCAGTGGAGAAGGCTCTTCAAACTAAGCTTTCTTTGAAGGATGGTCAAGCAGATTCAGAAGAAGGAAGTAACATCGGTCATAGTCGTGAAAGATTTCGAGGCCGAGGGCATGGTTTCTGTGGCAGAGGAAATCATAACAACTTAATTAGAAGAAAGAGATTAAAATCAAAGATCTTTCAGAGGCCGTGGACGTGGTAATCTAATGGAGACCGATGGAAAATACAAGTTCAATGTTTTAAATGAAAGAAGTATGGTCATTATTCTTCTGATTGTTATTACAATCAAGTTGAAGAGAAGGTGAATTATGTTGAGAAAGGAGATGATGATAATATTCTTCTATTAGCATTCGGAGGAGATGGTGACAAGGAGGATGTTTGATATCTTGATACTGGTACCAGCAGCCATATGTGTCAAGAGAAATATATTCATCGATATGAACAAATATGTGAATGGCAAGGTCAGTTTTGGAGATTTCTCAAAAATTCTAGTGAAAGGCGGAGGTAAAATTCTTATTCACCTTAAAAATAGAGAAGAAAAATTTATCACTGATATTTATTATGTGGCCAATATGAAAAGTAATATATTGAGTTTGGGACAGCTCTTAGAAAAGGCCTATGATTTCCATACAAAAGATCGTAGTCTTTTTCTTCGAGATCCAAGAGGTAGATTGATTGCAAAAGTACAGATGTCGAAGAATCGAATATTCTTGCTAAACCTTCTAGGTGGAAATGTGAAATGTTTGAAGGCTTGTACCAAAAATCTTGCTTAGCTATGGCACCTGATATTTAGGCATCTCAATTTTGGTAGTCTCAAGACATTGGCCGATAGAAGCATGGTGAAAGGATTGTTGATAATTAATCATCTCGAGCAACTCTATGAAGGATGTCTAGCGCGAAAGCATCATCGAGCTACTTTCCCAAAGGAGGCTTCATTTCATGCGTAGAAGCCACTACAACTTGTACATACTCATGTGTGTGGGCAGATCACTCCGACCTCAATTGGTAATAATAGGTATTTTCTTACCTTCACTGATGATTTTTCTCGAAAGACTTGGCTATACTTATTGAAGAACAAATCTGAAGTGTTTTCTATGTTTAAGAAGTTCAAAACTAATATGGAAAAAGAGAGTGACTTTTATCTTAAACGTATCAGATCAGACCGAGGTGGAGAGTTCACTTCAAAGTAGTTTGAAGCATATTGTGAAAAACATAAAGTTTGACATTTTCTGACTGCTCCTTACATTTTACAACAAAACGGCGTTGCTAAGAGGAAGAATCGTACTATTTTGAATATGGTAAGAAGTATGTTGAGTAGTAAGAAAGTGCCTAAAACCTTTTATACTGAAGTCATTTCTTACGTCGTCTACATCATCAACCGGTGTCCAACTCAGATTCTCAAAAATATTACTCCGCAGAAAACCTAGATTGGTTACAAACCAAATGTGAGCCACTTCAAGGTATTCGATAGTACTGGCTATGCTCATGCTCCAGAGCAGAAGAGGAATAAGCTCGACGAGAGGAGTATTCTATATGTATTCATCGACTATGATTTAAGAACCAAGGGTTACAATATGTATGATCCATGTAGTAAGAAGTTTATTATTAGACGAGATGTTCAATTCGATGAAGAAAAATCATGGGATTGGAGCAAAGGAGAAATTTATAGCAACCCGATTACTTTCATTAATGAAGAGACTGAGATCGGGAAAGATACTCCAGCACATACTTCATCGACATCTACTCTATCATCACCGATGACAACATCACCAACCACACCTCAGTTTCCCTAATCGATGACGTCTTCAACATCGTCCTCATCATCATCGAGCCCACAACCTCAAAATTTTAGGAGTTTGAGGGAGTTGTATGAGGTAATTGAAAATCAAGAGGATTTAACATTATTTTTCTTATTTGTTGGTTGTGAGCCTTTAGACTTTAAAAAGACAGTTCAAGATCCAAAGTGGAGTTTAGCCATGGATGAAGAGATCAAGGCTATCGAGAGGAATGATACTCGGGAGCTTGCAATACTTTCAGAAGGCAAAAAAGTAATTGAAGTCAAATGAGTGTTCAAAAAGAAGAAGAATGCGAAAGGAGAAGTTAACAAGCACAAGGCGATGTTAGTTGCCAAAGGCTACAAGCAGAAGGCTGGAATTGATTATGACGAGGTATTTTCGCTAGTAGCTTGTCTTGAGACTATAAGGCTGATTATTGTCTTAGCAACTCAGAACAAATGGTCAATCTATCAACTTGATGTGAAGTCAGCATTTTTAAATGGTGTTTTTGAAGAGGAGGTCTATGTGGATCAACCTCTTGGTTATATCAAGAAAGAAGAAGAATTAAAAGTGTTGAAGTTGAAGAAAACTATTTATGACTTGAAACAAGCACCAAGAGCTTGGAATAGAAGAATTAATGAATACTTTCAAGATCATAAATTTTCTAAATGTCCTTATGAGCATGCCTTAAATACTAAGGTTAATGAAGCTGTAGATATTCTTATTCTATGCTTGTATGTGGATAATTTAATCTTTACAGGAAATAATCCACATATGTTCGAGGAGGTCAAAAGCTCCATGGCTTGTGAGTTTGAGATTGCAGACATCAGACTCATGTCTTATTATCTTGGCATCGAGGTGAAGCAAAGCCAAAATGGAATTTTTATCTCACAGGAGGGATATGAAAAGACAATTCTTAATAAGTTTGATATGAAGGATAGCAATCATGTGAGTACTGTAGGCGCTAAAAATTACCTATAGATTATCATATGTAGCTCAAGATAGAGAGAAGACGATAAACGTTATCATCTGAGTTGCAGAGGATCATCCAAAGCTAAGGATCAACTAAAGAATGCACAAGAAGCGCATCACGCAAGGTTCGAGACGTAAAAAAATGTCTCAGAAGCATAAGAGGAACTCATAGTTTCCGAGATAGTTACAACTGTCTCGAAAACTACGAGGAAGCTTATAGCTTCCGAGACACATACAACTGTCTCAGAAGCATGAAGGGAATCCACAGTTTCTGAGATAGTTGTAACTGTCTCGGAAGCTATAAGGAAGACTATAGCTTCCGAGACACTTACAACTGTCTCGGAAGATAAGGTGATACAAATGACGGTTTTCTCGAGATTCGTGCATGCCACGTGGCTCCATAACTGTTAGAGATCATGTGTGAATATGGGGAAGATGTTACAAGTAGAAATTACATCAATAACTGTCAAAATAATGGCATTAATACGTGTTTAAAGCAGTTATAAAAGGACTGAAAGGAAGTATGCTTCCGAGACAGTTGTAACGGTCTAGGAAATGGAAAGCCAACCACGCTTCTGAGACAGTTACAATTGTCTCGAAAGTGGGAGTCCCCTGACACGACTTCTTTTCAACTTTTATCTTCAGTTACGGTCCGTAGGGGCTATAAATACCCCCTAGGACCATTACTGACGAGAACTGAGCAATTTTGGAGCAGATTAAGCAGAGAGATTTGAGCAATTTGGTGAATTCCAAGCAAGAGAGAGTTTTCATCACGTGCAAGCATTTTTCAGAGTTCTTGTGATTCCTTAAGTCTAAGCTTCAGCTTGATCTTAAGAAGAGTGTTTATCTTACATCGATAAGATATTCACTTCCTTTTCTTACTTCTAAATGAAGCAAGAATTCTCAAATAGCCTTCACAGTTCAATCTGAATCTGTGATTCGGTAGTCCACGGGCTAACGCACCCCTAACACAGGCAAAGATCCCACGTAAGCAGCGAACGATAAA